AACCCGAACAAAGACTGAGCGCGACGAGACTTTGTTTCAATTGTTTGCAGGAGGAACGCTCGCGCTCAGCTGGCGCTAATCATGCGAAAGAAAGTGTCAGTAAGGTAATGTTAATTGCCTGCCCTTCTGCTAAAACTTTCAGTTTAACCTGTCGATAACGAGAACGAAAGCAGCGATAAAACTGAAATACCTAATTCGTACGCTATCATTCCTTGTGTACGCGACCTTGAGTTGTTCAATATAAGACCCCAGCAAAGTTGCAATGAACCACAGTTCTTTGCTGAGTAGCAACTCCAAACCATTTCCTGGTCTTCTTTTCCTGATCTCTTCTAGCTCAGAGTATTTATTTATGCGATTTAAAACCTCTGGTTTCTAGGAATGGGAACAACCACGTTGGCTAGTGGAGTGGCCGCTGTTACAGCAGTGGCCGTCGTCGTTTCGTTGGTGACTGTGGTCTACATAGTCAACGACATCAACACCTTCTACGACGACGTCATCTCTGAGCTCGATGGCTTCAAGGTAAGTGGTGACATAGAAAACGAAACGATTATTTGAGACGAGAAAATGGTTATTTAAGGACCTCGCTAACTCCGCATGGCACGAAATGAGAACCACTCCTGAAATGGCTCGAGACAAACGTGCAACATTTGTAAGGCGCAGACAAACAGGCTACAGCACAGGAGGTGGATCAATCATGCAATTGCGGTCAACAAGCCAGTGGTTGCCCCGCTGGACCACCTGGACCACCTGGACAACCCGGACTGCCTGGAGAGAATGGAGAGCCTGGACAGGCTGGAAGGCCAGGAAACAACGGCGGCACCGGTGGAGATAACGGAGGCTCTGATTGCATCTCGTGCCCAGTTGGACCTCCAGGACCACCAGGACCTGACGGAAGCGCTGGACCACCTGGACCTGATGGAAATCCTGGAGCTCCTGGAGGCGGATCTGGAGCGTCACCACCTGGACCTCCTGGACCACCAGGAGACGCTGGGCAACCTGGAAGTGATGGTCAACCTGGATCTCCCGGTCAACCAGGAGCACCTGGAACTAGCGGAGCAGGACAACCCGGACCACCTGGTCCTCCAGGACCAAATGGATCACCAGGACAACCAGGACAGGACGGCACTGGCGGTGGTGGCAGCAACGCTGGTCCACCAGGTCCACCTGGACCCAACGGAAATCCAGGACAACCTGGAGCGCCTGGAGCACCAGGAGCGCCTGGTATGGATGCCACACCTGGTGGTGATGGAGAATACTGTCCATGTCCTCCACGAAACGGAGGTGGTGCAGGAAGTGGTGGCGCCGGAGGCGGTAATGGAGGAGGAATCGGAGGAGGAGGTGGTGGTGGAATCGGCGGCGGAGGCGGAATGGGCGGAGGAATCAGCGGAGGAGGCGGAATGGGCGGAGGAATCAGCGGAGGAGGCGGAGGCGGAGCTGGAGGCGGGGGAGCTGGCGCTGGCTACAGTCTGTTGGGACTGTGGTTGGTGTATTCCGCAGCGTCATTGTTGCTCGTCGTCGTGTTAGCAAGAAACGACGTGTGGCCAGAAGAAAAGTAGCAAAGAAGGCTTAAACGCAACTGTTTTATGTGTACTCGAATAAATCTCTTCTTTTCAAATGTACAGCTGTATTTATTGTATTTGAAACTGTACGAGAAGACTTCATGCGTTATGCTAAGCAAATATTTCTACACAATTGAGACGGTGCCTGTTCTTTTATATGAAGCCAGAAAAGTGAAGCGCTTTTAAAGAGAATTAAATTGGAAGTTGAAAAGTCTTTACGGAGGCAAAGGTAGGTAGCTCTATAAAAGAGACGTTCTGGTCCCATCAGTGATACGGAGCCTACAGGCATCGACCCCTGCCCACCTCTCTCCTTCAGAATTTCCTTCCTTGGTTTTTGAAGAGCAACTTCAGTCTCAGTATCCCAAGTGAAATGATCCCCCGCTACATCTGAATCAGGAGAATTAAAGGCAGCGATTACGATAAAGTGGGAGCGCATCGGGGAAGCATATGCACCACACGAATCAGTTACTTGGCTGCCAGGGAAGCGAGGTGTAGCGCTTTCACGACGAAAGGTGCGCTGGTTGCTGAGCAGGACTTCGAAAGCACTCCGCCCCAAAAGCGATCCGCCCACTAGTTTAGTTGGTGATTTGGACGAGCTGCGTTGCCAGCAGCGGCACAACTGGAGCAACTCGATTGGAGCGTGGTTTGGCATGGTGCCACCAAACGCGTTGCGTGAACTCGTTCATACGTCCGCTTTCTGAGCTGTTACCTGTTCATGAGTGAAAACCAACGGCCAAAAAAGGGGTCCCATTTTTTTTTTGACGGATTTCTCTGCTTTTTTCGCCACTGGCGTACCATTGAGCACCACCACGTCTCCTCTAAACCTTCCTAAAATTATCGTAATCACTGCCTTTAAGTTCCCATTCCTCTTCCAACAAGAAGTCGTACATGTGGGCTCCACAGACCTTGAATTTACTGCAATTCCGAATTCAAAGGATGAACTCATTAGCCCGAATCCTGACTGTAACTGACGGATCACTTTTCAATGTGAAACATTGTCCAATTTTCACCAGGTCTGATGCAGGTCCTATGAGCCTCGTGGGAAGGGACCCATCGCTACAAGCATGCAAGTCAAGCAAGGCAAGGCAAGCAGTGGCGGATGCCACTGGACTTGACTCTGGCAGGAACAGCGCGTAGAAATTCCGTATTCTGCACGGTTTTTGCAGGCGTTACCCTACCAGAGACACACCTGTCCAGCAGACCCGAACTATATTATTGAGATTAAAGGCAAACCCCGGGATTAACCCG